AGCATGTTGAGGGGGGAAGGAAGAAGGGGGAGGAAGGATATACCTATATCGAGATCCGTTTTATTGCTTTATACAAATACAAACACATGAAGTAAGGGTGCTTAAACCTAGAATACATAACATCAAAGTAAATGAGCAGGATATTAGATCCTTCCTATATATACATACATGTGTGGGAAAAAAGACTAAATTTATGATTTCATGAAAAGTCTAAATCAACATAAATCACAGCAATTGTGCAAGTGTTGAAATTTTTTTATCAAAATTTATTCAAGATTTTTTTTTCAATTCGCCACTACCCTTACCTCCAACTTTTAAAATCTTTATATCAACATTTTTTCAAGATTTTTTTTTTATTTCAAACTACCCTCACTACCACCGACTTGTTGAAACTTTTTTATCAACATTTACGCAAGAATTTTTTGTTCAATTCCCCACTACCCTGAGTTCTACCATTTATATACAAATCAATACATATCTTTATTTTCAAAATTTATATTATTACAACTTTAACTACCTTCTATTTATCTGACATAAAGCTAATGTAAAAAATAAGGCATTTTATACATACAGGGAACTTTTTGACTCCTAAGGTTGTCCTCTTATGCCACAGTTTTATAGGTCAATTACTGTATTGAATAATTTAATAAGACTAAACCATTAAAAATGTGTTTACGGCTTATGTAATTATTTCGACTTAATGTCTCCTTGTTAAAAATTATGAAGATTGAAAGTGGCAAAGACTACAGTAGCATAGCATAAAAAAACATGCTAACTGGATTTTTTTCATGTAAAATTATCGTGCGCTTGTGCTCGGCGCACGGTTATGAAAAGATGGATTAAAAATATCATAGTTCATGATTTCAAGCTAAGGATTTTAAGCTCAGGACATATTCTCAATTAAACATGTAAACATGATATGATATATCACTTAACCAATTTGATCATTTTTACTTCCTCGTAGCTTCCCTTAAAATGAAATTTGCCTGAAAATGTTGATTTATTCAAATGTGTATCCTTCTCTCAACTGAATGTTTGGTAGGCTGTCAAAATAATAAAATCTTTCTTAATTTTTCAAAAGTTGGGAACAAAGCGTTTTCTGAGATTAAATTTTTACTTTAAAAGTCGACCTACAACTCAATTTTGAATTTCAAACAATTTGAGGAAATTCGGTCAATGGAAATTAATGAGTTATTATCCACTGTAAATTTCGGTTTATTTCAAGTACCAGACCGACTTTCAATCAGCTAGAGTAAGCTACACAGTACAGAAGCAGACTATATAAGGCAAGGTAAGTGTTGGTACACCAAATGAATCACCCCCGTCTATAGAGTCTCTTCGTTTTCATGTTTGTGTATCCATCCATGCTGTTTAAAAGCTTTGCACATTCAAAATTGAAATCGAAAGTCGTCTTCATTATATTGATATGATTACCTTCCACCGTATGAACATTATATATTGCACGACAAAAATCATAAATCCTCATAATACAAATATTTGGGTCAGAAATATAAATAACGTTAGTTTCTGGCAGGGTTTCATTTTAACACTCTCTTTGGAAACAAAATAAAATAAAAAAAAACATATCAGACTCTGAAAATGCCAAAGGTTCAGCTGTTCAGGTTCAGCTTTAGGTTCAGGTTCAGGTTCAGGTTCAGGATCAGGTTCAGGTTCAGGTTCAGGTTCAGGATCAGGTTCAGGATCAGGTTCAGGTTCAGGTTCAGGTTCAGGTTCAGGTTCAGGTTCAGGTTCAGGTTCAGGTTCAGGTTCAGGTTCAGGTTCAGGTTCAGGTTCAGGTTCAGGTTCAGGTTTAGGATCAGGTTCAGGTTCAGGTTCAGCTTCAACTTCAGGTTCAGGTTCAGGTTCTGGTTCAGGATCAGCTTTAGGATCAGGTTCAGGTTCAGGTTCAGGTGCAGATTCAAATTCAGGTTCAGGTTCAGCCGGAGTTTAATGTTTTCCTGGTCTGATGTCTTATGTGTAGAATGTCGTCTTACATCAATCACAATTTTACCATTTCTTACCAATCTAACAAAATTTAAGTGAACATTTATAAAGTAAACATTAAATGATCTGGGCAAAGAAAGAAACAAGATTGAGTTTGCAAGGAATTATAAATATTAGGAAGACATGGACAATAAAGATTCTGTGATGTCGATCGAAAATGTCATGGAAATATCTCATCAAAACATTTATTTTCAAAAAAAATGAAGATCGGTTTATAACTACAGTTTTTTTATAGACTTATCTTATCTTATCGTATCTTAGATATAATGTCCAAGATACAAAATTTAGATAAATTAAATATAAAGGACGTTTTTTAAAATAAAATATTTCTCGTTTTAACGTTTTACCCAAGAGGCCAAAGCACAATAATAATTGATTGCCCAAAAAAAACCTGTTAGGATTTTATAAAAAATCTTCCCAAAAGCACACAAATGGAATGGACTTTAGTCCTAAAGTCTTAATCTCTACAATACTGCACTTTCAGCTCAACTACCATATCTAGAAGGTCTCTCCCTTTAATGTGAGTAAATCAGAAACATTATTTACAGTGAGAACCAAAAACTGTGAAATTGCGTCGTCTTTGTTCTTCCTTTAATTTAAATGGCGCTGATGGGATTTTTAAATTTGCAACTGAAATATCCTTTTAAAATTTTCAGGTTTCATATACGTATAAAATTCGTTTACATTTTTATCTGAAGAAAACGAAGACGACCTGTGTCCGAATTTAATGAATTTAAGCCGCGTCTCAAATCCCCCAAAACCCAGTTTCAATTGAGCGCCGGCTTGAATCTTGAAAAATTGAATACAATTGAAAGTGGAAGCAACTATATTGAGCCCCGGCTTAAATTCAAACCGCGGATCAAATTCTTTAAATGTGGCCTCAGGATTCCATGTTTTATGATTCAATTACTGTATTATAATGTACACACTTGTAGGCTCTATAATTTTGACAGGTTGATTCACAAAATGATTTATTCCTTGATCCATATAAACCTTATTTTCCAAAACAACGAGTTAATAAGATCAGAATAATTTGAACATCGTAGCGATCCTCCAAGGGGGGGGGGAGCAGACAGCCAAGCATGCCATTCCTCTCAATGGTCACATTCATGACTGGTACATTTGAACAGAAAGCGTTGCGGCCTTTAACCTAAATCAAACAATTTAGAAGTAAACAGATTGAGACCGCCGCCGATATTTGATGTGACCCGACCCTCTGTTTACAGGTTATACAGGGAGTCCCACAAAACATGACAATAGCAAGATGACTTGAAAGTCGTCTTTGATTTTGGAATTTATTTGTGGCATTCAGTCGTAAAAATACTTTAACAAGTATAAACAATACAGATAGAACACAAGATGTCGTCTTCTTTTCAAGATTTTAGGGGCAGAAGCTCGTAAGAGTTACAAGCATGATGCGCTGAATGAAAAGACCGAGAAAAACGTGCGCGTAACTCCTTTGGGCTTCTACCTCAGGGATATTATGAGCGAAAACCCCTGAATCATAAAAAAGACGACATCTAGTGTTGTATTGTTATTAATCTATGCCTACCTTAAACTATTTTTCCAATAGAGGCTCCATGAACTTCTCCAGACTGTATATTCGCCTAAACATTTATTATTTAACAGATTTTCTAATGAGCCAGTTGTAAGCCATGAATAGCCATGGGAGCTGCCGACCATAGTATTTGTAATGTTTGATCCGATCCTGTCCACTTTTGGGATTGAGTAGCATGGTTGTTTCCTTTTTAGCAATAGTTAGTAATTAAGACTCAAAAGTTTATTTTCGAAAAAGGTGAACCTTGCCTTTAAGTTCATGTTTCTCCCGTTTATATTACCGTTTATGAAAGAAGCTTAGCCTATTAATCCAAAAGTTTCCATTCAGAAGTTAAAATTTATCAAATAGTTTCAGACTTTAAATCTTTAATATTTTATAAACTTTAATCCTTTCATTTAACTATTTTTTTACATGACAACTTGAAGGCCCGCCTAATTTCGCTTTTGTTAATACTTTGGGGTGAGGTTTTATAATCAAAATCTGAAAGTTGAATTGTCCTTCGAATGTAAAGCGCATTTACATCTTGCTTCCAACTTTTTAAACTGTGGCAATTTCAGACGATTTCCATATCTCAAGCACTGACCACCAAATTCCGTAATATACAAAAAAAAACGCCTTTTCGATGGCCCTTTAATTTGACCATTGACCATTTGAGTGGATGCATTTTATATGAAAACATATTTATAAAGGACACAATAAATTTGGGGCTGTAGCATTATAGACCGAAACAAGAATAAAAGATTTTTAACTTATTTCAAAGCGAATAAATTGATATTCAAAAGATCATTATTGAATGCTTAATGAAATGAAAGGACACTTGAAGAAAAATAAAACATTTCAGATTTTTTTAGAGAAAAAATTGAATGTTTAAAACCTTTGTTACTCATAGACTTTTCCCCAATCACAACGGTATCCTTTGAACCTTTATTCTATCAAAAATGTGTGAAAGATATCGCCATTTTTTTTAGCTTAGTGTTTAATTCAGGTTATTTTGGCATAAATCTGTTGGCAACTTATATTAAGACACTGCAATTGAAAAAAAAGTCAATCGCATTCATTCTAGGCAAAGAGAATAGAATATATATTAGAGTGGAATTTACTAGAAAAAAGTGTAAAACGGCCATTTTGTTGTACTGTTTCCATACTGCAGGTGTACTCCACATATTTGCGTTATACAACCTTTTGGGCCCTGGAACATAATTTTATAGAAAATCTAAAATTAACATTAAAAGAAAACCAAATTAAGAAAAAGGCTTGTTTCATAATTGACCAATGATCATTTCACATAGACTCTATGCCTTTCACTTTATAAACGATGATTTTCCGATATAACTATAAATCAAATGATGTTTTTATTCACCTAATTCATTTTATAAAGCTTTAACAGTTTTAAAAAATTCGAAATTGAAATGGATAGTCTAGGGAATATACTGTATTAATGTACTCTACTGCATATAATTTGTAAACATTTAAATGATTTGTACACGTTGAACTCCCTTTCAGACTAAAAGGGACTGAGAAAATTTATACCAAGGGATTGTCTAAATTCCACTCTAATATATATTCTATTCTCTTTGATTCTTGGTCAGTCGACATCGACAGAAGTTTTTAGGATACCTTAGTGAAGCAGAAATGTTCTCTTTTAGCATGAAGCATGAACAAAAAAATAAAACCTACCTGAAAACAGATATCTTTGCAAGGCTCTCAAAACCCATGCAGATAAACAGATAGATAACAAGATAGACGATAAACAGGAAGTACAGCAGGAAATAAACCACAATAGGAAGAAGGTAAATCAACCTGAAAATTAAGATTAGATTTTTAAGATCTGAGACTTTAATTAAATATATTCTATTTATTCGTACACAATTATAATGGTACAATTTAAAATCAACGAGAAATGAGATATATAACATATAAAATATAGAATTAATATATAGTCGAAAACAATAAAATAAAATTAAAAAAATAAAAACTTAGTTAGTTTTTACATATATCATCAATAATTACATCTATTTCATCATAGTTAAATCCTTCTAAAACATTTGGATTTGACCGGATTTATAGTAAATCTTTTAACAGTGGAATTCTCCACGCATTTTCAGCCGGATTCGCGGATTGCTGACATGTTTTTAGTAAGTTAGTGTTTAGAATTTTTGTTTAGTGTTTACTCGAATAAAAAACACAAAATACAGTTTGAATTGAATGATTGGTTTTTCTTCCTTAAACAATTTTATTCTAACTCAGTCAATATCTTCCATAGTTTAACGAATCAAGCTTGCAGTAGCGAATACAATTTTTGTAAAGCTATAAATCCTTAAATGTGGAAAAATCGGCTCAAACACTTAATACGGAAGGAACCCCGAAAAAGTCCCTGCTCCCTCTAAGCTCAGTATGGAATTATTATTATTATTTGTATTAACTGTGTGGGGACGGACTCCTTGACGTATTGGAAGACGAAGACCATGTTGATGGTGAGGACCACCACGGAGAGTAACCCAATCATGACCTTCTGCACAAACCCGTTTCTAAGGGAAAAAATTATAATCCCTTAATCTTTGCAAACTTATGGTGTATATATTTATCATTTCAAGCTTAGATTATTTTATCTAACTAAATTTATAGTTTGCAATAACTGAGGTGTACAGTATTGGGTTGCAAAGATATAGGAGTTAGAAAATCAGAGTTTGTGACAAAGACTCAATTTTTTTGAATCGACAAATTTTGAAACTTATTTAGAACTTCTTTAAGTTGAAGATTGATCTGAAAAAAAGTGTTCTGGGGCCGAATTTTAAGAATTTTAGCCGCGGTTCAAATTTGAGATGCGGCTCAAATATGGTTGGTTCCACTTAGAATTTTATTCAATGTTTCAAGATTCAAGCCGGCGCTTAATTAAAACCGTTTTCGGTGGATTTGAGACACGGCTCAAATTCATTAAATTCGGACTCTGAAATAGTAGTAGAGGTAAGTAGTAATTCAATAATCAAGAAATCTTCTGAAAAACAAATCACTTTTCAACTATACTCAAATGATAAAAATTCAAGGAAAATAAAACTTTTGTTTTTTTTGGACAAATCAAATGAAACTTTTATTTATTTATTGAAAAATTGGTGTGAAAAAAGACATCTTTGCAGTTCTAGACATCTAAAAAATCTATTTAAAAAAAGACAAGCTGTATTTTTAAGTATCATGTCAAATGTTAAGACTGTGAACATTTAAAGTATCCATTACTATTCAGTTGTTTTTATTAGAAACTATTAGAATTATTTGGAAAGATTTGACAGGTTCTTTATAATAAAAATGTGTTACCTGAATTCTCCCATAACAACCCTGCTACAGCTGAAGCACAGTGCTGGGATTATATTTGTTACCTGAATTCTCCCATAACAACCCTGCTACAGCTGAAGCACAGTGCTGGGATTATATTTGTTACCTGAATTCTCCCATAACAACCCTGCTACAGCTGAAGCACAGTGCTGGGATTATAGCAAAGGGAAGTTGAATTGACATTACAGCGTTTAGAATATCATTTAACCCCGTCATCGTCTGAACAAATATTAATTATAAAATAAAGATTTTTTTGGGATTTAGGTCTAAAAGTGCGACAAACGGGCAAAATATTAATTAGACTATTTTTGTTAATTAAAACTATTTTTATGTTCATTAGAACAAGTAAAGGCAGCGCTCGGCCCCCTACCTTGTCTTAGCCGCAGCGTTCGGCCCAGAAATTGTCTTTACCTAACCTAACCCTGACATTACACATACAATATTTTGTTCCATTTTGACCCCCATGTCGTGTTACCCTTTGTCGCGTTTTTGACCGTTTTTCGTTTGACCCCTATATAATTTGACCCCTATGTAATTTCACCCTATGTCATTTGACCCTATGTCGTTTGACCCTATGTCATTTGACCCTATGTCATTTGACCCTTTGTCGGTTGATCCTATGTCATTTGACCCTATGTCGTTTGACCCTATGTCGTTTGACCCTATGTCGTTTGACCCTATGTCATTTGACCCCTATGTCATTTGACCCCTATGTCATTTGACCCTATGTCATTTGACCCAATGTCGTTTAACCCCTATGTCATTTAACTCCTATGTCATTTGACCCTATGCCATTTCACCCCTATGTCATTTGACCCCTTTGTCATTTAACCTCTATGTCATTTGACCCCCATGTCATTTGACCCCTATGTCATTTGACCCCTATGTCATATGGCGAACCGTCTTGACGACGGACTTATTTCATGGATTTGTTTAACTTGTGGTTAACCTGCATATCTGTGAACCAAGCAACACAAAGCGTCGGAAGCATTGCAACTACCCTGTAATACGTAAAACATTTTGTTAAAGGGATTGTTCAGAAATTTAGGTCACATAATACTGAAACAAATGATTCAATAAAATTTCCGAAAAAAAATAATTATTACCTAGTAATAACCAGAATTTTCCACTGCTTCCAGTTAAGATTAAGAAATCCCTGAAAAATACTAAAATGTAAAATGTGATAACGTTGATTTCCTTTGAGCTAAAAAACTAAAACACTGTGAATGTTATATATTGAAAACATCATCTTCCTCCCCCCCGCTGAGTTTTAATAAGTAACTTTTCCTTGATACAACATTGAATATTTTTTTTAGAAATTTGCCCTTCACATTTTTGACATACATCATAAACTGACCAGCGTATGTTCCTGACATTGTACTTGACTAACCTGCATAGCAAACTGACCAGCGTATGTTCCTGACATTGTACTTGACTAACCTGCATCGCAAACTGACTAGCGTATGTTCCTGTCATAGTACTGGACTAACCTGCATAGCAAACTAACCGGCGTATGTTCCAGTCATTGAATTGGACTAACCTGCATAGCAAACTGACCAGCGTATAATCTTGTCTTTTTACCGGACTAACCTGCATCGCAACTGACCAGCGTATAATCTTGTCTTTGTACTGGACTAACCTGCATCGCAAACTGACCAGCGTATGTTCCTGTCATTGTACTGGACTAACCTGCATAGCAAACTGACCAGCGTATGTTCCTGTCTTTTTACTGGACTAACCTGCATCGCAACTGACCAGCGTATGTTCCTGTCTTTGTACTTGACTAACCTGCATCGCAAACTGACCAGCGTATGTTCCTGTCATTGTACTTGACTAACCTGCATAGCAAACTGACCAGTGTATGTTCCTGACATTGTACTGGACTAACCTGCATAGAAAACTGACCAGCGTATGTTCCTTTCATTGTACTGGACTAACCTGCATAGAAAACTGACCAGCGTATGTTCCTGTCATTGAACTGGACTAACCTGCATAGCAAACTGACCAGCGTATGTTCCTGTCATAGTACTTGACTAACCTGCATAGCAAACTAACCAGCGTATGTTCCTGTCATAGTACTGGACTAACCTGCATCGCAAACTTACCAGCGTATGTTCCTGTCATAGTACTGGACTAACCTGCATAGCAAACTAACCAGCGTATGTTCCTGTCATAGTACTGGACTAACCTGCATCGCAAACTGACCAGCGTATGTTCCTGTCATAGTACTGGACTAACCTGCATAGCAAACTGACCAGCGTATGTTCCTGTCATAGTACTGGATTGACCACTGGCAAGTATTCCTACCCCCCAGATGTATGTGAAGAGAACTCCAAAAGAACATCCAAGAGCTATACCACCCTGCAATACAAATTCTTTTACCATACACTGGCTTCATGATGCCATAGGTGCAGCCCGCCTAGTTTGTTACATAAAACGCACTGGGTCAACCTGGGTCAACCACATACTAGGTACACTAGACAGGCTGGTACAAGTAAACACTAGACCAGTGTCAATCCTTGTACTGGTTCGGGTAATGAAACGATAAGGATCATGTGGATGGGCATGATTTACTTACAGTTTAGAAAAACAAGACCTTCAAACAAGAAATGTCATTTTGTACAAAATTTATGAATTTCACTCAAGAAATTATAAACTTTTCATCGTCATTGCTTAGACAGAGAGCGTTAATTCTTAAAAATGTGTGATTAAAAAATACATTTAGCTTATAATTACATGCACAATTGCATTTACAGTTGAATGAAAGCATGATATGAATTTAAAATTTTCAACGTCTGTGACTTAATTTTATCTTGATGTTTTGTTTAAGATAACCTTGAAGAGAGCTTTGTTGTACACATTTACACTGTTATAGTGTTTAAATATAAGTTGAGATTATTTAACGGGGATTTGCCATTTTCTGTTGTGCGCAATGCCCCGTAAAATTCCAAAACAGAAAGAGGGGGATTGAATTTTGTAGATCCAGAAAAAACGTCCCTCCCCATTTTCAGAGGATAAGCCTTCTTACCCGGTATAAATCTCCTTCCACATATTCCTCCGCAATGCAAGAATTCTCAGATAAACTACAGTTAAAAACCTAAATAGATTATGTACAGGATCTTTCGGAAAAATAGATTAAATGTACAGGATGTCTCTGAAAAATAGATTCAATGTACAGGATGTTTCTGAAAATAGATTAAATGTATAGGACGTTTCTGAAAATAGATTAAATGTACAGGATGTTTCTGAAAATAATTAAATGTACAGGATGTTTCTGAAAATAGATTAAATGTACAGGATCTTTCTGAAAATAGATTAAATGTACAGGATGTTTCTGAAAATAGATTAAATGTACAGGATGTTTCTGAAAATAGATTAAATGTACAGGATGTTTCTGAAAATAGATTAAATGTACAGGATGTTTCTGAAAAATAGATTATTCACAGGATGTTTCTGAAAATAGATTAAATGTACAGGATGTTTCTGAAAATAGATTAAATGTACAGGATGTTTCTGAAAAATAGATTATTCACAGGATGTTTCTGAAAAAAGTGTGTTCAAGCTTTTTTGCCCACCAAACGTCGTTGTTGAATTAACAATTGTTTCTACTGCAGTGATAACCAGAAAACTCTGGAAAAGGAAGACGACTTTAAGAATCAAGTTTTAACTTTAAAGTGTACTATTTGCTTTGTAACGCCATCAAATACACAATTGAGTATTGCTATAATGTCGTCTTCCTATTCCATTTTTTTCTGGTTATCACTGTAACATAAGTGGAAAGGTCATCTATAAAACCTTTTTGTTAAAAACTTAAAACATTTAAAAATAGGCCAAATATCTCAGGCTAAAAACACTTTTTAATACAACAAAACGACCACTCGACGTTTAAAGCAAAATAAATTGTTTCAGCGCCCATTATCATTGTTCTAAGATTCTTTGTTATTGATATATTTGTTTAGTTTTTATTTCCTTCTGGTTTTAATTCGATCCAAGGATGTAGATTTGAGTTGCTATATATTTATATATAAAAATAATTAATATTTAATGTCAAAACACTGTTTAGTTCATATGTGCACTGTAATATAGCATTTCAGGGGAAGGGTGACTGGTTTATAACAATGTTCTGCTTAAAATGCATATGCTTTGTGTTTAGATGATGAGAATGGACAAAATAATTTAATTTAATTAATTTACACATATTGTATTATATGCTTGCATTTATTTAAAATTATTTCGATTTATGATTACTTTTTCCGTTCATATCATTTCCCAGGGATCAATTAAGTAAATCCGCTATTTTGCGTACATTTGCAAGCCAAGTCATATTCGACTTGAATAAGAGATTTAATGGTGTAAACTCAATTATCCTGACCCCCCCCCCCTCCCACGTAAACCCCATTGTGGGTGGGAGAGGGCAGAAAAATAAATGTTTGCTTTTGTAGAATAATATGTTATCGTCTGATGAGCCCCGGCTAAACATCTAAAGTTATTTAAACAAATAATCTAAAATGTATATTTAGGATTTCTTTTAGATCAATGTTATCTCCTGCTTGTAAAACAAACAATAAGATACATGACTTTTCTAACTTTTCATCTTTTAATTAAACAAAAGCATGAAAAGTACACGGTATTTGTATCCATACTTCTATTTAAAAAAAAACTGCATTTCGGCAGTTGTTGACCTAAAGGGAGTGTTCTTGAATCACATTGTGTTTCCTGATCAAAAAAGTTTACATGATTCAAATTGAAAATTTTAATTCCTAAAAATAAATTATAAATATATATATATTCATACATTGCTTTTGTTAGTTCAGTGGAGAAACTAAGCTGCAGCTTAAATCTTCTGTCAGAGTGAAATTTTTTGCATAATTTCACAAAAAAAATAATCATAGAAATTAAAACTACGTTACGTAGGACTTTGCAGATTTTGCAAAGCCCCGACTACAAACCAAAACTGGTAGAAAAATGGTAAAAACAGATAATAACGATCTAAAAAACAGATAATAACGATCTAAAAACAGAGAATAACGATATAAAACAGATAATAACGATATAAAAAACAGATACTAACGATCTAAAAACAGCTAATAACAATCTAAAAACAGATAATAACGATCTAAAAGCAGATAATAAAGATCTAAAAACAGATAATAACGATCTAAAAACAGATAATAACGATCTAAAAACAGATAATAACGATATAAAAACAGATAGTAACGATCTAAAAAACAAATGATTAAAAAAAAGTTTAGTAACGTTTTATTCTCATAAGTATACATTTTTAGATACAGGTTTCCGTATCTAAAAACAGATAATTTGAAAAAACATATAATACTCTCATTTTTAGATTAGGGTCTAGCCAAGCCTATGAATTACAGCTCAAAGATATTACTGATAAGAAGAATTTTTTATTCTAATTCCATAAAGTGAGTTATTATGAGTATTTTGAAATATGCAAACCATCCTTTAATTCCATGCATTAATGTCTTGTATTAATGTCTTGTATTAATGTCCTGTATTAATGTCTTGTATTAATGTCTTGTATTAATGTCTTGTATTAATGTCTTGTATTAATGTCTTGTATTAACGTCTTGTATTAATGTCTTATATTAATGTCTTGTATTAATGTTTTAATAGTTTTAAAAGAATTTATTCTATGGATTAAGTATAAATCTTTAAATTGTCTGATAACGGGATAAAAATGCCGCTAAATAAACTTTAGAAAATTGCCTTCAACAGGCTTCAGAGCGCTTCGCGTCGCTCTTTCTCGCAATTAGTAAAGCTCATAGAATGATTCTTCTTATTTGATATCAAATCATAGAAAAGGAATTGAGTCGTTGCCACAAACTCAAATTCTTTCCTTACAACATGATGGTGTAAACCTTTGATATTTTAAACTTAGATAATTTGATGAAACAGAATTCATAGTTTGAAATTCATAAGATCTGGGTTGCAAAGATATAGGGGTTAGACAATTAGAGTGTGTGGCAAAGACTCAAGTCCTTTGCCCACTTTTTTTAGTTTTCAGTTTTTAGTAATGGATTCTAAAACAAAATTTCAAATAAATGTTGTTAAGGCAAAACTTTTGAATTGAACTGAATCGTACCTCAGGATGCCAATCCCGCTCCAGGCATAGTTCTTGAATATCCGCGTTAGATCTAGAAAATATGTTAGATCTAGAAACATGCTAGATCTAGAAACATGTTAGATCTAGAAAATATGTTGGATCTAGAAAACATGTTAGATCTAGAGAACATGCTGATTCACGAATGAACCCTTAAAATAATAATTTAGATATCAAACAAATATATTTGTTTTTATAAAAAAGTTTTTCATTGTGGGTTCTGCATAAAAGCGACTTCTGTACATGAGTAAATTGTTAGAATAATGTTTGAAGCAATAAGATAAAAAGGTTACAGTGACTCTCTTCAAATAGAACAATGTTTGACGAACATCAAAAGGTTTGTGTTTATTAAAAATGAAACAAATGAGCCCATGGATACAAAAGGTTAAAGTTCAAAACAAGTTTGTATTGAAATTTTACAAGTTTTCTTGAAAAGATATTGATAAGATTGTTTAATCTTTGCATGCAATTAAATAAGTTTCGTCTTCATCTCTGAATAAGGTTTTTAATGAAAAGTTCCATAATTAGACCAGTAACTCCGTAAAAAAGGAAAGTTACCTATATAATAAAACAAGACATTCATATATATATATATTTGTTGTCTATAGCCGACCAAACGGCTGGACCGATTGGGATGAATTTTTTGTGGACACTCATGGGTGGCTGGGGGTTGTTGTAGGATAAAAAAATCGTAACTTTGTTTTTCAAAATATTAAAAAAAAAATTTTAATTTTTTTAAAGGGCAATGCCGGGCCTTTTAGCTAGTTTTTATTATTTATAAATAATATTTTACTTATTATTTAGCTAAAGTAAATAGTGCTTAATGATTAATAATTACCCATGAAGATTATTTTTCACATAAAAGCACGTATTTGAATCTTTTATCCATATTTTAAATACAGGGCTACCCACAAAGGATGAGAATTCAGAGACGATTGTACGGAATTTATAATCTCGGTGTCCGGATATTCAAGATTCTCTGCAACTTTCAAACTGGAGATAATCGTGCTTTAAGAGTTTCAAGTCGTCTTCGCATTTTTATCCTTTAAAAGTAAAAATTAATTTTAAAACTTACTTTTGATGAAGAACACTTCCAAATACGGAAACCACAAACAGATTTATGATAAAAGAAACTCCTAAAAATATTAATAAATAGAAATTGTTAAAGTTTTGCCTTTTAATTTCAAAACCAATGTATTTTTTTTGTCAACAAACGCTGAAAATATACCTACCGATGGATAAAGCAGACTCGATAGAAGTATAAAAATTTGCAGATTTTATACATTTAGTACAGCTTCGATCCACGTCATGCTAAACATTTAAAAAAATAAAACGTGATTTTTCTGAATAAGGGGATAAGCGAAACAACAGTTGGAATTTTTACTTTATCATTTATTGTCTCTTTTTTAGAACTCGGCATCAAATGATAAGTTAAAAAAATTTAATCCTTGCTGTATAGTGCATTCGTAATAAATGTTAATACAGTGAGAACCAGAAAGCTCTGGATTTGGAAGACGACTTTAGGCTCAAATTTTGATTTTAAACAGCCCAATGAATAGAAAACTCAGCAATTGTGCAGTGTAAACAGATCATATTCACTTAATAAATGATTTAATAAGTTAGTAGTAAACCTATTTGCGCTTCGTAACAACATAAAATAAACTTAATTATTGCTTTAATGTTGCTTTTAATAAAGTTAAAGTAAAATTAAAATCTTATTAAAAGACGAGTTGATTTTTCCTTAAAAAAAAGTTTTTCGGTATGAACAGATTTATTTGAATCCCGCAAAGAAAATGAGTTTTGCCACAAACTTTACTTTGCCCCCCAATGTCATAAACCTTAAATATTTCAAACGTAAATTCTGTTAGATCAAATAATCTGTTCTAATCAAATGATTTCAGAATTTTATCCTATTCAAGACAAAGTTTTCTTCCTGATTAATGCATAATGTAGGTAAATACCCTAGTAACCAAAGCAGAATGTAGGTAAATACCATAGTAACCAAAGCAGAATGTAGGTAAATACTTTAGTAACCAATGCAGAATGTAGGTAAATACCATAGTAACCAATGCAGAATGTAGGTAAATACCATAGTAACCAATGCAGAATGTAGGTAAATANAATGAAGGTAGAGATTATGAGGCATTATAATTGCTCCAACCGCGGCTACAGCCTAAATAAAGCTGGTTAGTTCGCCGGAAATATTAATATACTAGCTGAAGTTTTGCCATATTTAGCCAATATGTGTACTGTCTAGTTTTGCCGTATAAAGTCAATACGTGTACTATCCCGTTTTGCCATATTTAGCCAATATGTGTACTTTCCCGTTTTGCCGTATTTAACCAATATGGGTACTGTTCAGTTTTGCCGTATAAAGTCAGTACGTGTACTATCCCGTTTTGCCGTATTTAGCCAATTGGTGTACCGTCCCGTTTTGCGGTATATTAAAGTCAGTACGTGTACTGTCCCGTTTTGCCGTATTTAGCAAAATATGTGTACTTGAACCTGTCCATAGAAATAAAATAACAACTATGCTAAAAATTATGAAAAATAAATTTTAAAAAACCTGAAGAAACCAAGCTTCGTTACATCCATTGCAACCAGGAACAACAGCACCTGAACAACAAGAAAACAGGTTATTTCGTAGTAAATGTACCATTGACCCCCCCTTTTCCTGCTTATCATTCTAAAAAAAAGAGCAACCTAACTTGAAATATTAAATCACTCTTTTTAGAGTCGAGAAGAACTACGAGAGAAGACAGGGTGAAAAATAACATTGCTCCAAAATGCTGATTAAATAAGGTGTTAAGAATTAAGAAAAGTAATGGGTTTTTAGCAGAATATTCTTGAGGAATTCGGGAAAATTTCTCGAGAAGAATTTTAGCGAATATTTGGCGCATTTTTGGAAAATTCAAAATAGAGTTTTAGAAATTCTTTTGGGATATCCAAAAGTTTACCCTTAGGTTTTCTTTAGTTTAAAAAAAAATAAAAATAATACAAAGCTTTGTTCATTCTAACTCTTCTAACCACCATGAAAAAATAGGAATCTCTTCTGTTATTAATTACCTAAAATTACGTCCTTCTGGTCTGGAATCTCTTGTGTTATTAATTACCTAAAATTACGTCCTTCTGGTCTGGAATCTCTTGTGTTATTAATTACCTAAAATAACGTCCTTCTGGTCTGGTAGATCGTATCCATAGTTTATTCCAAAGCTTACGCCCATCACCAGGATTAAAAAGAAAAAGAAAAACTCAAGCTTTCTTCGCCCATACCTAGGTTAAACGCTTTCATAACAGTACACAGTGTTTTAAACGTTGTAAGCTTTGAAATGTGCATTGGGACTACACAAAAGCTAGGATTAGTTATTGGGTTAAAATCAAAGAGCAAGGTGTAACTACATATTAATATCGAATCAATCTTAAAAATTTATACAACTTTTCAAACCAGTCTAAATCTATGTCTGGCAATACCTCATATACCAAGACACCAACAAATTGTCCCGTAAATGTTAGTTCAAATCCGGACTTATCAGAAATGTAAAATAAAAACTTGATGTTGATGATGTCAAACTTCTTATTTTTACCCAGCAAACAAAAAGTGGAGGAATACTTGATACATATTATCAAGAAGTTCACAAGAATTGTTTACTGGGCACTAGGTAAAGATAATATAGTATATGAATAAAAATCAATAAAGCAATGCACTGAGTTTCTCAAATATTCGACGAGTCGGTTTTTCTTACAATATATTTATATACAAAAGATACAAACTTTAAATCGAACGATACTAATACAAACTAAATATTATGAATCTAATCAGTTCTATCAAACAGGAGACATTTTACATTTTCATTTTCATCGTCTCACTTATACAAATTAAATATTGTTAATCAAATTAGTTTCATCAAATAGGGGAATTCTTCAAGGGAACCTTAATTCAAGGGAGCTGAATCACAACTGCCTGTCCCCCTTCGATTTTGCTCCATCCTAGGATCGCATTTAACCCTAGCTACCCCGGGGTTGTTCCGCCCCCTCCCCAACGCTTGGGTCTTCAAGATAACGGAAAATTCGGCGTCGCTTGGGTTATTTATAGAATCCAAATGCAAACTCAAATAAATCCGTTAGGATTCAAAATAGGACTCTAAAGTCCAACCGTAGGGTTAAAGATGGGGGGGGAAAGGGGGCATGATTCCCCTTGGTAGCTATGATCTCAGCGATCCAAAAAATCCTTGAATTGCTGATCGTAAAAGATCAACAAAACTCGCCCACTGTTACAATAAGTTAAATGATTTACCTGTCCAGAAAGAGGAAGGTGAAAGTGTCCACCAGAGTGATTATACAGCCAGCCCACAAAGGTAGAGCTAAACATGTTGGTGCACTGTTAAAAGAAGTTTTGACCTATTTCAAAGGCTGTAAGGTACGTTCTCAAAGTCATTTTCCCAAGCTGCAATTTTCCAAGGCTATTTTCCCAAGTTACAGCTTCCCAAATATTCGATTTCCCAAGCGGCGACATCCCAAGTCTGTCCTAATCGCAGTGCTTTGCCCCCTAGTTTGCTACTTCTAACCTTTTGAAGCCTGCAATGCCTCAGCAGGCCTAACCTAACCTTTGGAAAAATACCCCTTGGGAATATTCTCATTTTAGAAATTGTCACTTGGTAAGTTGTCCTTGGGAAGTTGCCCTTGGGAAAGTGCCTTTGGGAAAATACTAACACCCTTAAAAGACCATAGATAATAATACCAAATATTTTTTTATTGTTCTGCATTGTTTAATGTTACTGGGTCTGATGACACAATTTCAGATGCAACTCTGTGTAAAGATTTACATACTAGATTGACAACGGCAAAAAGGAGATATTCTTGTTTCTATCCTGTACAGAGATTCTGTCAACTTCCTCAATCATGCGTGAATCCGCAAGTCACTTTACCATTTTTAAGTTGAAATTACGTCAACATGGCTCCCTTTTACCTTTTAGAAAATAGATTTTACCTCCATTTGTGAGAAGATAAAGTGCTATTGATGTTCCAATGACCTCCTGAAAGATAGTTTGTGCATGAAACGTTGCTTCACAATTGGTACACTAAACTGTGGATTTTCAGTTTAATGCTTGATCTGTTAATCTGCAGATTAATTTAATCTTTATGTGATATTGACAGTGGATATGGGATCAATTGATCAGGATTATGAGTTATTAAAACAAAATTAGCTCAGTACCCGTAAATACATTAAAGATATGATAAAACCAGTAGGAGTAGGGAATAGAAGGGAGATATAACTGACGCAGTTCGCCCTACCATATGATTATACATGCTTTGCAGAGGGTACTCCTGCATTTGTATATGAAATATTCAGAATAGGTTATTGTATACGCGGTAATTGTACATCAGACAAATATTTCTTATATAAATGGTGTACCCTTCTGCAAAGCATGTATAATCATTGACATATATGGTAGGGCGAACCGCGTCAGTTATATCTCCCTTCTATTCCTTACTCCCTGGATAACGCTAGACTTGCCGGTACCATAAAGTACCATGGCAAATGCATGTACCAATAAACCCAAGTATACAATACCTGCATATCACTGCCTATTACAGCAATTTCTACCATTATCCACAACAAGAAGTTTGGAACAGAAGGGAAGTTTTCGTAACAAAGCTCGGCTGAACAAACAGGATATAAAGGAGAAAAAAATTTAATTTTTTCTTTCTTTTAACGCATAGTTTCAAAGTGAAAGGACAAAAAAATTGTTTTCATAATTTCTTTCATTAGCGTTGTCTATTTGTTGGTTTTTTGTCTGTTTATTGGTTTGGGTGGCTGTTTATTGGTTTTGTTTGTCTGTTTATTGGTTTGTTTGTCTGTTTATTGGTTTGTTTGTATGTTTATTGGTTTGTTTGTGCCGAATAAATGTTGAAACAGAGAGAGATAAAGCAGTCACAGGTAAAAGGAGCATTTAAAATTCTTATGCCTAGTATTATCGCTTACCAAGGTGTTTCCCTGTTACAACACCCAACCTAAATCAAAATATTTTTAACTTAGTTAACTTACTCGATCCATATAAAAGTCAGAAAAAAAATTCTATCTTTGTAAATATTGTGAAATTACAGAATTTTTAAAAAATTTACAGGACCTGTCAACGCAATATTAAGGTACCCCTGATCTGTAAAGAGTAGTTTCCCCGATTTACAATTGATGCCATTGAAACCTTTGTTATTTCTGTTTTCTATCTAAAAATTGATAATTTTCTTTTGCGGTTTCTCCGCGAAATTGACTTGCGGATATCTGATCTATAGAACGATTGTAGAAATTGTTAAAATCAAACAATTTTTTTTTGACAGAAAAATAAACAATTTTTTCCTCATTAGTGATCAGGTAAAGGTTTAAATAGTACCTTTGTGAATCCCTTCTGAATATTTTTAAATCAAAGATAACTTGAAATTACGTCGTTAGAACCTGTAAACTAAGTTAACTATTTTAACTANACTATGTTAACTATTTTAACTATGTTAACTATGTAAGACCTTGATGAAAGTCGTTGCATGAGAAAGCCCAGAAAGGAAGCCCAGAAAGTGACCCAGAGAAGCTTGTAACCAGCCACAACTCCACTTTGCAGATCGGATTCTAAAGTGGATACCGAATGAAAATAAATTTCATGAAATTTCTCAAGGACTCAATCATATTCATGAGATATTACTTGAGTTTCAGAACAACCAGTAATTTCTCATGAATATGTCATTTTGCTTATTAATGATCAATGTTTCCCATGGGTTACTTTACGTTTTACGATCTATGTTTCCTGGGTCTGCAGTATCTTCTTTACTGACCTATATTTCCTGGATCATTATATCCTTTACTGACCTGTTTCCTGGATTATTATATCCTTTACTGACCTATGTTTCCTGGATCATTATATCCTTTACTGACCTTTGTTTCCTGGATCAGTATATCTTTTACTGACCTATGTTTCCTGGATCATTATATCCTTTACTGACCTATGTTTTCTGGATCATTATACACTTTACTGACCTATGTTTCCTGGATCAGTATATCCTTTACTGACCTATGTTTCCTGGATCATTATATCCTTTACTGACCTATGTTTCCTGGATCAGTATACACTTCAATAACCTATGTTTCCTGGATCATTATATTCTTTACTAACCTATGTTTCCTGGATCATTATACACTTTACTGATCTATGTTTCCTGGATCATTATACACTTTACTGACCTACGTTTCCTGGATCATTATACACTTTACTAACCTATGTTTCCTGGATCATAATACACTTTACTGACCTATGTTTCCTGGATTATTATATCCTTTACTGACCTATGTTTCCTGGATTATTATATCCTTTACTGACCTATGTTTCCTGGATCAGCATATCCTTCACTAACCTATGTTTCCTGGATCAGTATATCCTTTACTGACCTATGTTTCCTGGATCATTATAGACTTTACTGACCTATGTATCCTGGATCATTATACACTTTACTGACCTATGTTTCCTGGATCATTATACACTTTACTAACCTATGTTTCCTGGATCCAGATAAGCTATGCTCATTAGCCAACCAGGCCCTAGATAATATAATCTTTATTTTTCTAGCCTAGAAATCAGTCTTTAAACAAAAAAAAATTTGAATGGAATCAAGCTTATATTTAAAGGCATAGCCCACCAAACCAAGTACAGTGGTTGCAAGAAAACAGTAGAATTTTTTCTTATGCATTTGATTTCTCAGAATATGCATTGAACTGAAAACTTTAGAATTGTGGATATCCAGATATCTGATTTATCTCCTCTGTTTATTAATCTCCAGGTTAATTTAATCTTATTAATATCCAGGTACATTTCTAAAATGCAACCAATAAGAGTGTCGTTTGAGGAAACCGAACAGCCAATCAGAAGCCGAGAAATTTTGCGAGCAAGGAATGAAAGATTTCTTTTATTGGTCGGGATATCCAAAAGAGATGATTAAGTAGAAAATCAAGTCCACAATGAATATCGAGATTTAGCAGTCTGGATTAAGGATATCCAAAACATGAGTTATACAAGTAATTTAAAATTTTTTGTAATTTTGGGATATTTTTTTTATTTCAGGAAGAACAAAGACAGCAGCCTTTCCCCAGTTTTCTATTGCAACTGTTGTATTAAAAAAGAAAGTGTTGTCTTTAAAGGGACAGACCGGCTATGTAAGGTAGTTGAACTAAGTATGCAGTGTTGTGGAAAGCTTCTTTAGGATTCATTTGAGACCTATAACACTTTTTAAAGATCTGTAAATTCGGAGTTTGAGCGCAAATTCGACGTTCAAAACGGGGTGAAAACGTTTTCAGAATCGGTTTTTTAAATTACTAATAGCCGGTCTGTCCCTTTAAATGTAAAAAGGGCACCTGTAAAGAGCCAGAGTGTTCTAAAGCTGAAGGTGTTCCTAAATAAATCAAGATAATTGCAGAGCAGAAAATCTAAAGCTGGCAGAAAAATTAAATTCAAGAATTAGTTTCAAACAAAAAGTTTATTTAGATACAAATATATTTTAATTTCTCTTACAAGGACTTAAGCGTAATTCCAAGTGACCATGCATTCCTGATTCACAACGGTACCCTTGAAACCTTAATCTGCTTTGATTCACAACGTTACCCTTGAAACCTTAATCTGCTGTGAAACCTTAAAAGCTTTGTCTGAACAAGAATATATTAAATATCCATCTTTATAATTTTGAAAACTAATTTTTTTAAATTTTGTTTTCTCTACAAAAGTAGCCCACAGTGCAGGAAAACATGAAGGAATTATCAGAAATGAACACTTGGAACCCTGGAAAAACGATAATATCTTCTACATAAATATTAGAAAAGATTTCAATGGTATTTTGTAAATCGGGCATTGCCATTTTTCTGTGGAAACTCATTTTACAGTCCCCTTACTGTACAGTCCCTTTAAAATTCAAAGTTATCAAGTTCAAATTAAAAAACAAAATAATCTGTGCTCTCTTGTTGATCATAAACTTTTACATTTTATTGTATACTTTAAAATTAATTATATTTTAAGATATTTAGCTTGTTTATGAACAATTAAATGTTTTCAGCTAATTATTTACAACTGCTTTACAGGGAAGTTAATGGAATTAAGCTTTACCAAAGGTATGTTTTGTAGGCAAAATTGGTCAGGGAGACCCGTAGTTAAGTAACTTTTACTTTTTTCGAAAAAGTAGCTATTTGTACACAATTTTATCGTCTTTTGAGATGAAAATACGTAATTTTTTCCAGCGTACGCGTAGGGTGGGTCGATATTTTGCTTAATTGCTTAACGTCCGATGTTGATCAAAAGGCTGTGATAATTAATTACAACAACTTAAGAGGGAAGCTAAGAAAATTTTGCTTTACTAAGGGTTCCCAAGGTTTATCGTCTTTTGAGATAAAAAATTCGCGATTTTTTTCTCAAAAACTTTGCAGAGCGGCTAGTTTTTTCTTTCAAAACTGTCCCAAGGGACGTTAAGTTACTCTGAATCATAGGCCGGTAATATTGGTGAAACCGCAGTAAAATCTGAATAAATATAATTTAAAATATAAAATAAATAAATTACTTCTTCTCATGATGGCACGTACTGATATCAATTCGTTTTTCAGGAAAACTTTCCTCATCCTTTCCAGAGAAGCCATTGTTATCCATTCCTTTCATTCTATCAATCTTATATAAAATATAGATGCTTTACAAGGTTACCCACAAAAAAATGAGGCTTCAGAGACGACTGTTCGGAATTCTTTTCTTCTTTTTCCTTAAGTTGATGGTTCTCTGCAACTGATTTATTTAATTATTATACTTTCAAAATACCCATTTTACCTTTTAAATAATATTTTGAAGGCAGATGGTCAAGTTCAACCTTCAGATTGGCATTGTTTGGCATGCAGACAAAAGGTTATATAGCGCAAATATGTGAAGTACACCTGCAGTATGGAAACAGTACAACAAAATGGCCGTTTTACACTTTTTTCTAGTAAATTCCACTCTAATATATATTCTATTCTCTTTGCATGCAGAATATTTCAGATTGAATGTACTTGCAAGAATACCCACAAAGGATGAGACTCCAAGATAGAGACGATTGTACGGTTCTTATACTCGGAAATTGTAAACTGCCAAATCAGTATCCATCAAGAGACATTATTCAAAATAGAAGACTTTTTTGTTAACCTTGAAATCGTCATATTTTTCAGGTAGTCATTAAAGTCTCATCCTTTGTGGGTAATTCTGTAGCAGGCTAAGACTAAGTATTTTCGTGGTTCTACTGAGTTCCCTAATCAATCGGTGCAGGGATTCATGAGTTTTAATCGGACATACAAACAGACAGAGAAACAGACATAATGTGGTTCTGACTTCTTCGTTTCTTTAAAATAGATGGAGGTGCAAAACATTGGAACAATTTGGTGTAATTTAATAAATTGGAATCGGAAATCGGAAATTATATGTGGAGTATAGATTATCTTGAACACTTGATCTTCATATCCAGTATGAACACTTTTGATTTGAGGATCAGTGCTTGATTTCTTTTTAAGAGTTACATCTGTAGGGTATATACCGAGCATTGGATATATCTGTAGGGTATATACCGAGCACTGGATATATCTGTAGGGTATATACCGAGCACTGGATATATCTGTAGGGTATATACCGAGCACTGGATATACCTGTAGGGTATATACCGAGCAATGGATATACCTGTAGGGTATATACCGAGCACTGGATATATCTGTAGGGTATATACCGAGCACTGGATATATCTTTAGGGTATATACCGAGCACTGGATATATCTGTAGGGTATATACCGAGCACTGGATATACCTGTAGGGTATATACCGAGCACTGGATATATCTGTAGGGTATATACCGAGCACTGGATATATCTGTAGGGTATATACCGAGCACTGGATATACCTGTAGGGTATATACCGAGCATTGGATATATCTTACAGGATTATTTGACAACCTATTTTTCATTAAAAATGGAGAAAGATTAAACAAAATCTTGCCTTTAACTGATCCATTATTATTGTTCTTATAAATTCTTTATTTTGCTAAAGATGAAAAATTTCAGCCTTGTACGAGTATACTATAGACAGCTGGATATACAAGCATGTGATAGATAGATATAGCACACTATCTTAAACAATAAAACTAATGTTACCGACAAAAGACGGGCTAACATCGAAAAAAAACCTTTGCTGCATTATTTTTTTAGCCACTTTTTTATCTAGAGAAAAGACGCAACTACATTTAAAAAACTTGTGTCCGGCAAATATCCCCCCCCCCCCACTCTAAATGCTTTCAAAGGAATTGAGTTTCTGCTTCAAACTCTGAATTTCCAATCCCTATATCTTGGCAATTTGATGTTGTAGACCTCAGATATTTCAAACTATAAATTCTGTCAGATTAAATAGTCTGAATTTGAAATATAAAAGGTTTACAACATCAATTTGCAAAGATAGAGGGATTAAAGAAATTAAGCTTGAGGACAAAACTAAATTCATCTCGCCCTGAACAGATCATAGGATGATTTAGTTTCAACTAAACACAGGCAAACAAGATATTCTTTATATAGTTGCTTGTCTTATCTATTGCAAGAAATATCTAAGATATTAAACTAAAGGTATTATATTTACGGCTCATCGTTTTGTAAGAGATCACTTATAACAACTGCACATGTTCATTGTTCATGTAGACACATCAGAGCGTCCGATATCATATAAGATTATCTCCAAGCTTATATAACGTCAAATTAAGCACATGGTATAATACTCGTATTTTATGCATGCAAATTTTTAAATTATAAATAACTTTTATTTCTCTTCAAGGGTAAGAATTATACATTTTTTATACATCTTTTTAATCTTCAACTGCTGTAAACACACATTTTAACAGCAATTTGTAGACACGTGAAACCAGATGTTGAGGGTAAACATATTTACCTAAAGATTATAATTCCTGATATTCAACCGCTCGTTCAACCGCTTGTTCAACTGCTTTTTCAACTGCTTGTTTAAACGCTCGTTCAACCTCTACCGCTGAGTTTTTTCCCCAAAGATTTCAATCTTACATTCAATTTACCTTAGTTTTGCATGAAGAAAAAACATGTTCCGGGTGCACCTGTATTAATTAGAGAATAGCAAGGTTTAAACAAGAGTTTAAGATTAAAAAAATTCTAAAATTAATTAAAGGGGCTAAGGCCGAATTTAAAGAATTTTTCTCTTTCTCTTTTTCTAATCAATAATGCATTCAATATCCATGTTTTGGTTTTTGAAAACTTTCTTTCTTTAGAAACAATAAAGAACTGTTCAGAATTAAACACGTTATCTTTAACACAATTGCTCAGTTTAAGTTTTAAAAAGCTGTACGTTACGAATACCATTCTTGAAATGTGGGGTCAGTTTGAAATAAAAATCCAAAAATTCAGATATTGTTTTTTACCTGCCAGAAATCTTTTCATGGGTCATGAAATGTCTCAAAGCAGTATCATACGAAAAAAAGGCCGGGTACGATCGGAACAACTGTTTTGAAGAAGAAAACGAACAACAAACACACAAAAAATGAATTGAGAGCATACATATGTGATTAATTTAAAATATATCCTATGTAGTATATGTATATTGTACATTTGCGAGCATAAAGTTTGAATTTAATATTACACATTAACATATTCTCATTATTAACCATGCTTGTAGAGTGGCCATATATAACCAAGAATAGAGAGTTTAAATGTAAATATTATTGCTTCTCGGCTCGGAAAATTGAGACAAAATTTTATGAACATTTTAAGGCAAAAAGTTACAGATATTGACTCGTAACTAGGGTTTCCATTTTTCCGGGATAATTCCGGATCAAATGGAAACCGGAATGTTTACGGTTTACGTTACGTAACCCGGAAATTTTTCCGGTTTACAGAATGGAAAACGTAAAATTTCCAGTTTCCATTTCGTAAACCGGAAATTTTTACGGTTTATGTAACGTAAACTGTAAAATTTCCATTTCGTAAACCAGAAATTTTAACATAATGTTAAAACATTAAAAAAATGTATTAATTCACATATATTAAATACGCATTCTATTCGATAATTTTTATATTCACAAATAGTTCACTATAGTTCAAAATGACTATTTTACATTTACAGTTTTCACATTCCCCAAAATATTTTTTGACATGTTTAGCCCCCTCCGTTTTTGATCGGGATGGGATGAAATGAACTGAAATGAACCATATAAATAAGAGATTATAAAAACTAGGCTATTAATTGGTGAAGCAAAAAAATAATAAGTTTCGACATTTGTTCCTGCACAAATTGTTAAACCAGTTTTAAACCTTCCCTTGGGCCATGTGAGTTGCTTCACAAATTTTGGACTCGGTCGGTTCAACTGTTTTGAAATTTATTGGAGACAAACGGACAAACAAACAGACGAGCAAAGTATATAAATAGAGTGAGAACCAGAAAACTCTGGAATAAGAAGACGACTTTTATACATATGTTATGACTTTAAATAGTTCAATGAACATGTGACACGGCAATCACGTAATGTATACAGACCTATTTAAAAGTGATTTTATAAGTTACTATTTAACCCTATAAAGGCTGGGGGGTCTAAATCTATGTATAGGCTAGGGATAGGGCGTTTGGCACCCCCTAAGAAGGGTGGAAAAAAATGCATAAAAAAGGGTAAAAAAATGAAAAAATATTTTTTTGTTTTAAGCAAATATCAAAGTGTCACACATGTTTCTACATGCATTTTTCAAGAGCTTTCAAAAATATAGTTTTTATATCTGTAGCTTTAGTCAAAAAAAAGATAAGAGCTATGATTTTTTTTCACAGACCGGTTTTTTTCCAACTTGTACCCTACCCTATAAATAATAAGCAAAAATTTAACAAAAAATCCATTAAAATAAAATTGAGTAAAAGTCACAAAATTTCACGGTGAATTTTACACATACAATGTTCAAATAGAAGTTACAAAAGAGATTAACAAAGGAGGTTCAAAAACTGGTTTCATTTTGTATATTTTATTTTTTAAATACTATTTTCTTTTTAAATTAAAATGGGACATGTTCGAAAATCATATAAAAAATGTATTTTTTTATTGCCAGGNTGGTATGAGGAGAGAAGAGTAAGATTGAAAACAGGTATTTAAATGGGGTAAATAATGAAGGTGGTAATTGTAAATCGGTAAAAAAGGGGGAAGGAGGATGGGGGGATGGAGAAGGAGGAGGATGGGGGGGGAATGGGTTAAAAAAGAGGGAATGAGGGGGATAACTGGTCGTCTAAACCTAGACCAAGTTTGACCCTGGGAAACAGTTCCTTTTGCTGCACTCAGGGGCTCAGCAAACATTTAATAGAGGGGAGGGGGGCTTAATTTTTCAGGGACTAAGAAAACATTTCATTGAGGGGGGGCTTCATTTTTCAGGGGCTACGAAAACATTTCATTGAGGGGGGACTCTCAGTACTCAGGGGCTCACCAAACGTTCTACAGAGAGAGAGTGGAGGATGTGCAAGTGTCAAAGATTTAAGGTTTAGAAAATTCGAGTTTACAAGGAGAATGTTTCTGAGAAGTAGTTGATCTCGCCTTATCTAGTTAAACTAATTCTCACTTTTTAATATGTCCGACCTCAGATCAATTGTGTTATAATCTTTTAGCTAATTTGCTT